CCCTGCCACTGCTCACAGCACCCACAAACCTTGCTCTGCCCCTGCTCTGCCAGCACCCACCCTGTCCCAGGCTGACACTGGCATTGAACCAACTCTTAAAAGGGGAATAAAAGCAAAAAAAATCAGCCCAGGCAGTGATACCTGCTGTAAATATAGCTAAAGTGTCCAAGGGAGGGCTGAGCAGGGATGGGATGCTGTTTGGACTGGATGGAAATGCAAGAATGAGCTGTGGGCTTTTTTCCTCTGTCATCCTTGAATTGTGCTATTCATCTTCTCCCCTGCCCTGAACAACTGCTTCCCCTCCACCCTCGCCCCTGCACTCCATGCACTCCCCACTTCCACCCCACTTCATGTCCATAGGAAGATGTGGGTGGAGAATTAAATATCATGGCTGTAATTCACGTTCAGAAAGGCCTGGGTGAGGCAGACACAAGGTCCCATCTCACCTCCCATACTCCTTGGTGGCAGCCGGACATAAGGCCACCAGGGTCAGGTAGGATGGGGATGTGTCCCCAGGAATGTTGGGCTGTGGAAGGGATGCAGGTGAGTCAGTGTGGATCCAGGATGCCAGCCCAGCTGTCAGCATCAGTCTAGTGAGCCATGTGGTGGCCACTGGGGAGACACTGGCCTGGGGACCCTCTCTGCACCCCCAAATGGGGGAATGGGGAGGAGAGAAAGCCATGGCCCGCTCTGGAGCAATGGTGACTGACATTCATTTGCCAGGAATCTGTTGGGGAATATTTTTATCTGCTGGGTATGAGTGTGCTACACGTCAGAGCCATCTGCCACACATTCATTTTTGGGAGAGCTAGGAAGTGCAGGCATGAAAATCTGTGAAAGTGTGTGCATTCCTGTGCCCTTCAAAGCTGTACGTCCCCAGGTCTCCTCCTGTGGTGCCTGGGGACAGAGCTGGGATGACTTCTTGTCCTGTTGGGGGAGAGACAAACTCTTGTGTTCTGTAAAATGGAGGTGGTGTTGAACTCTGCACAGCAAGCCCAGTGCACTGCATGCTGGTTTGGACACGGGAAGGTGAGTGACACCCTGGCAGCAGCCTCACTGCATGCCTGGCCTGATCCTCCATGTCCTTTTAGCACTTTTCCGTCTCACCTCAGTGTGCACAGCACCTTGAACTCTGCTGGCATCGGCCCACCTGCAGAAGGCAATAAGAGCTAACCCACCCCTCACCCCAGAGCCAAGCAGTTACTGTGGGAGGTTTCTGTTCACTGGATGGGGTCAAGGAGCCCTTGGATAAAAATAAGTGATAAAAATAAATGGAGACATCAGCCCATGCTGAAACGCTGGATCTGCTCACCCTAAAATATCTGGCTGTTGACATTCAAAAATCAGATTCAGTTTGCAACTAGTGGAATCCCCTATCCTCGTGACAGATGCCCTGGATTAAACACCCCCAAATTTGTGGTATCTGGGGTTTTATCAAAGGAGACTGTTTCCACTCGAGCGTCCCTCATTCCAGCCTGGCTGCTCCACTGCAGAAACGCGCCTGGTTCGGGTTTACAACGAGCCATCTCCTGCTGATGAGATTGAGCTGGGAAGACGTGCCTGTCCAGTTCCCTTTCAACACTTTCTAACCTTCTTGTGGCTCAGACTTTCCTACCAGAGAGTAGGACTTAATCATCCTTAATGATAGCCAGGCCACGGATAGCATTCAGCCAGGTTTTCCTAAAGGGCTACATCTGAAATCTTTATCCAAGTACAACCCCCTAGTAAACTCCCTGACAGACAACTGGAAACACTGCAGGGCTGTGGCAGACCTCTGGCCAGGACCAGAATTAAATCAAACCAAAAGCTTAAGCACTCATAGGACCTCAGAGGGATTTTTGAATGTAATTGGTGCTGTGGCTGGGCTTGGGATTCCTTTCTGCTGCCAAGATTTGCCAGTGCTAGAGGATTGCCCCATTCCCACCAACTTTAAGTTACAATTGATCCAGGGAATCCTGTGCAGATGGCAATTATTTGTATTAGTTTTTAATGCAAGCTGGTATATCACTGATGTGGACTCAGTTGATACCAATTAGATTTGTAGTGTTTTAACCACACCCCCCAGGAAGGGTTTGTGCTGATCCCTCTAGAGCAGATTCAAAGTAGTCTTAATTAAACCAACACAACTTTGCTGGGTGGATGAAGGCTCAGGCAGCAGCAGTACCACTGGAGGTCTGAGCTGGAGAGGAGAGGCAGCACATTGGAGAAAGGTGAAGAGCAACTGTGGAGAAATGTGTCTCCTCTGGCTTCTCCTTCTCTGCCCTTCCTTCTCTCCGAAAAGCTGGCAGCACTGCAACTTTTCCGCTGAATGAGATGGCGGAAATTTGAAATGCCAAGTTGTGCAAGGCCCGTGGCATACGCTGGAAGAGGCTCTGGGCAGACGCAATGCGGGTGATGTCACCTTGTCTCCGTCTCCTGCGCCAGGGCCAGTGATGGCTGTGCCAGCAGGTCCTCGCTGCTGCTGCTCTGCCCAGCCAGGGGTGCCCACGCTGCTCTTAGTGACACATTGGGATCCACCAAACAACAGAGGAGACTCAGAGCTGATTGTGAGTGGGCACACCCAAAATGGCTCTGAGAGCCTTGCAGGCAGCATGAGAAGGGCCCTCTGCCAGGTAGGAATGGGGACCTGATCCCTAGGATCGAGGAGCATCCTGCATCACCACAGTAGGCCTTGAAATATCTTCTGGGGCTGGAAGAGAAACACAGTCTGGGGGCAGAAACTAAAGGAGAGAAAAGAGGGGTTTGGGGGTCGTGGGAAGTCAGAAGTTTTCAGTCTTTTTAAAACTAAATGACAAGTTTTTCCCTTTGCTTTTCTCTGTCTTTCTCTCCTGGGAAACGGAGAGAAGTGGAGAAGGGAAATCGCTCGAGCGGTTTGGGATGAGGGGGCTGGGGAGGGTCTGCCAGATGTGCGAAAATGCTGGAGAAAGCAAAAAACTCAGAGAAAAATTTCTCTTTTGAGAGAGGCTACTTTTCTGTTCCTTAAAAAAAAAGAAAAAAGAAAAAGAGTTTTTCATGAAAAATTTCAGGCAGTTCCATTGTTTTGCTGCAGCCTTTGATTTAACTACTTGAGCAAGTATTTGACAAAACCCTTCGTGTTTTTCAGGAGGTTTCTTAAATCCCGCCGAGGTATGGGATTATGAGAAACAACAAATGGCAAGCTGTCTCTAACCCCGCAGACATTCTCACTCTCGTTTTCTCTCTCACTTTGGAATAAAAAATGCAGTGCTCCCTGCTGAGTTCTCTTTAAAATTCACATTGTCTCTTCAAATAAAGGCTGGGAGGGTGAGGTAGTGCTTTGAAAACCAGAACTCAGTCATACATTGCAGGGCCAGATCCTAGAGGATTATTCTCTCTCAGGACACTTTATAACTTCATGAGAACTTCTGGCCTGGCTTGTCTCACCAGCTTAGTGTGAGTGGCCCCAGCGGATGGCAGGTGACTGAGGTCTCTACACCCCTTTCCACTGGGATGGCTGGATTTGTCTTTGGAGACATTTTAAACCATGATAAGGCAAACTCAATTTTTTTGCCATGGGGATGGTGTGGCCCATTTGCTGTGCAGTCAGGGGATGCTCCCTGCAGAGGGAAGTCCTGCCACAGCAGCAACCTTTCCATCATGGCTGGCGCAGGCCAGGCTGTGGTAATGTGGTTTTCCTCTGCTTTTGGTGTGATTTCTCAACTGCAGCAGCCTGTGCTGCCCCAGGGCTGTGGTGAGCTGCCAGCGTCACCGCTGGAAAGCTCAGAACTGGATGAGCATCTTGTTCCCAGGAGAAGTGCTTGGCAGGACAGCATGACTGCGCTTTGCTCTCACTGGGGAATTGAACAAAGGGGCTTTTCCTCTCGACCCACCTGGAGTTTTGGTGGCAAAAGCCTGGGAACAAGGGGATGAAGCTGGCAACTTCCTTTGCTCTTGTTTCAGCCTGTCCTTCCCCAGTGCAGCAATGAGAGAAATGAGGACAACAAAGGAGCATATTGTATCGTAAACCACTGCACATTTCTGTTTCTTAAATTATGCTATCACCAGGCCACTACATTGTCCTGGGGCAAATAGCTCTGGGTTGAGACACAGCACTGGGCACAGACATGGATGCTGCAGCAGGGCAGAGCTCCCTACACACCACCCGCACCCAGGGGACAAGGACACCGAGACCTGACCATGCCAGACAAGGAGAAAGCCCCTCTAAGTGACGTTGCAGCCCCTGAAATTATGATGGTGCCTGTCATTCTTGCAGTATGATTTCTGTGATTTTCAGTAAACAGAAGCAAGGAGCAATTGTTGGACTCTGGTCCAAGGGTTCAAGGGTTCAGCAGGGCTTGTTTACATCTATGCACATGTCTGTGTACAGGGCCTGGGGTGCAAAGCAGAGTGACTGGAGGACCTTGGTGTATGTGCTTGTGAGGCCTCTGTCCTGCTAAAGTCTTGGAAACAGAAGATTGGTGAAAAAAAAGTTGGTTTTGACAAGTCTTTTGCGCACATAGTTCAAACCTGTCACAACGATGTCAAAATTCATCAGCTTAGTGAACCCATTAAACCTGGGGCAGAGTTGAACCATCTACAGCTCCAGTCCAGGAGGCACAGCCAAGCCAGCCCTTCCATGCACTCCGGGAAATCTTTCTTTCCCCTGGCGGGGCACTTCGGGGCTGGGGTGGGTGGGAGCATGGGTGCCAGGTGGGAACTCCCGAGGCCGAGGAGCTCAGCCCCGGCTCCGGGAGGCGGCCGAGATGGGGGTGCTCGGGGTCCCCCGTCCGGGGCTGCGGGCACAGCCCGCGCTGTCCGCGGGAGGGGGCGCCCGCGCGGGGCCGGGCGGGCGGGCAGCCCCAGGCTCCGCTCCGCCTCGCTGGGCGGGCGGATCCCAGCTCCTGATTTTCCCGGGGGCTGCAGAGGCTTGTCCCGGCCCTGCGCGATCCTGCTTGGCTGCCGCCCTCCCCGCCTCCCTCCACCTCCTCCTCCTCCTCCTCCTCCTCCTCCTCCTCCACCACCACCACCACCACCACCACCCCATGTGCTTCCTGCCGGGCCAAGTTCGCGGAGCGCCGCCGCACGTCGGGCCAGCGGAGCGGAGCCGCAGCGGAGCGGGGCGCGGGGCAGCGGGCGCGGCTGCTGCGCGGCGCGGCGGGGCAGGCTCGGCGGAGCGCCGGCTGCAGCCTCGGGGCGCGCTCGCCCGGCCCCGGCGGCCCCTGCCCGCCCGCACGATGCCGCGGCGGCGCGGCTGCCTGCCGCCCGTCCTGTGCGCGCTGGCCGCCCTCAGCCTGCCGCTGCTGCTGGCCGCCGAGCCCCGCGCCAAAAGTTGCTCCGAAGTGCGGAGGCTCTACGCCGCCAAGGGCTTCAGCCAGAGCGAGGCGCCCAGCCACGAGATCAGCGGTGAGTCGCGATCGTTGCTGCCGCCTTTGTGCGCGCCCGGCCCGGCCCCGCGGAGCGCGGGGTGAGCGCCGGGCAACCCTCGGCGCGGCTCCCCCCGGCCCGGCTCCCCCTCCAGCGCGGGGCCCGGAGCTCGGCTCGGGGCGTGCTGCCCCGCTCGGCTCGGCTCGGCTCGGCTGCCCGGAGCTCGGCGCCCATCCATCCCGCGCGGTGGGTCCCGGCGCCCCCCGGCCGGGCCGTGCCGGAGCGCGGCGGGACCGCGCCTGTTGCCGGCCCCGCTCCCCGCTCGGCGGCGGCGGGGCGGGCGCTCCTGCCCTTGGGCCGCTGTTCGCCCCGGCGGGGAGCGGGCGGCCCGTCCCGCCCCGGTGCCCGGCGGCTGCTGACGGAGGGACCGAGACATGGCTCCCTTTTTTTTTTGTTGTTTGTTTGTTTTTTCTTCCTTTCTTTTTCTTTCTTTCTTCCTTCCCTCCACCTTCGTCCCGAGGTACTCGCACATCCCGGGGACAGGAGTGATCGCAGTCGGCAGCAGTAGGAAATGGTAGCTAATGTGCTCACACCCAAAACATTTTATTCTTTTTGTTTCATCCTTCATCTCCCTCCCAGGGCCGCTGCTTTTATTTCCCCTTCTGAATGACCTACTGGACCGCATTCTCCGCGGAACAAAGGAAGTGCCTTTTTAGCTGGAATCCTCGGAGACCACCAAGGACTCCAGCTCATGCACTGCAATTTCGCACTACTTTCAACAATAACAAAAATGCATGACTGAATGGCTCAAAAATGTGGAGTGTTGGAGGCATTCATTTCGGTCTGGGACACTGTCACAACACAGACAGACCTCAAGTAAATACCTTTAGACGGCTCAGATAGAAGCTGGGGGTAATCTTTACCATTGGTGTGCCCTCCAGATATGCATACATTATCCTTTTCACTGACAAAATTAAAATAATTTCAGTTGCTTGTGCTTTTATATTGTCAGACTAATGATATGCTTTTAGCCTACATCTGTTTGAATAAAATTGCAGGCCCGTTTACTTCTCCAAGAAATATTTTAATGAGAAACGTCTGACTGGTTGCACTTAAAATACTCTCTCCACCCTCCCTGCTTCGTAAAATGGTCTCTAATAAACAGTCTTGAATTTGATTTGAGTCCAGCTCTCATCGGTGTAGGATCAGGACGTGAGCAGGCTTCCTCATAAGTCCAGTATTGGGAAGGTTTGACCTAGTCCTTATTTTATATATTGTTTAAGATGACTTGGTGAGCTTTGGAGAATGTCAGGAGTAGATCATGCTGACAGGACTTCCATTTGAAGCTCTAAAGCTGTTGTCTGTTTGACCCTGTGCTTTTGAAATAAGAGGCCAGAGAAATGTGATGAGCAAGGTAAGATTATTTGACAAAAGAAGGGCTTTCTGCAATGACACACTGAAATATTGGCTGGGTTAAGTCACTGTTCCAGGGGCACAGGGAGTCTGTGTCTGGCCTGGCTTGGAAAGCAACAGGTCTTGCAAAGTTACATTTAAAATGTTATCCTGCTCCCGCTGGGGTGTTTCAGAGGAGGTGGTGGAAATGTGTGGAGGAGGTGTGCTGTGTACAGCTTTAAAGTGTGGTGTACCTCAGGTGTGACTGAACTTAAAATTAAACCTGGAGTGGGGTGCTACACCTGCTGCAGTTACACGTTCCCCCTGTGAATTCATGTGGTTTTGGCATGGCTTGTGTTTAGAGGCTCTGGATCTTCCCTTTTGCTGTGCAGCTGGTGTATGCAGACTGTAACCACCAGTGCCATTGCTGGTGTTTAAGTTTCTGAGAGTAGGGAGCTTCACCTGCCATTGCCTTTGTGGGATCAGCACAGGGCACTGGTGTGCTGGGTGGGAAACACTGCCCGTGATAACGCTGGAGACTGAGGTCAGACATCAGGGCAAAAGGTCTGTGGTGTGTCTCGAAAAATGAGTCACTTGCCAAACCTTTGATTTCAGTTGGTGTTCCAGGTGATAAGCGGTGTGTTTTCCATCAGGAGGGTAAGTGAATTGGGAAGGCTGTTACCTGGGCGCCTGGCTATCGGTGAGAACAAGATAAATGCCTGTGAGGGAACGAGCCATGTCCTTGGACAAGTATCCCATTGGGATCATGGTGGAAATTCTGGATTTCTGCTTGGTAACACCTCTGCTCACTAAACTGTGGGGGAGGACAGGCTGGGGAGGGTTCAGTGGGCTGTGATGCTGATGGAATGACGTGTGGACACGTGGCTGCTTCTGGCATGAACTCATGTCTGAAGTCCATCAAGTCCTTTCTTAGATTTTTGTACTGGTTTGATGGATTATGCTTTATTCTTGCATTCTCTTACAGAGTTGCTTTAGATCACAGTGCAGAGACAGAAATTTTCTAGCACCTTTCTGAAAAGGTGCCCTAAAAACTGTGGCAAATTCATTTCTGTAAGTGTAGTGACTTTTTTCCTGTCAGCGATTACTGATCCTACAAAATGTTGGCCTTGAATTGTCACAGTGAAGCAGCTGGATGGTGCCCCTGCACTGGGCTACATGACAGCAAGTGAAACTCATCTTCACTGGATGGGCATGGAAGTCTTTTGGGGTTTAGCAGTATCTTGCATGGATTTTTTTGCCACATTTACATTCTTCTGGAGCAGTTGGTATGTACAACTTCTCTTTTTCAAGGAAGTGCCCAATCCAGCAGGCTTTTTATCTGTACCATTGCTATTTCAGTGGCATTAAAAGGCTATGTTCCTTGTCCATAATTACCCAGAAGTTCACCTTAATATTTGTTTAGACCAGGTTTAGGGCCTAATTAGAATATGCATAAATAGCAGGTTATATCTCGCTGAAGTACCTAAGCATTTCTGAAAGAAGTGTGCAGCTGGTCAACTCACTGCAAGCTTGACAAGAGGTGTAAAATGTGTTATTTGTAGTGTGGGACTTCTAGAATTTGTTTCCTTTTATGTAGCCTTGGTGTTGGAGATATAAAGACAGACTACTGCTGTGAATCTGTGTGGAAGCATTTCATGGCCCTTTGGTTGCCTTGTACCTGAGTGATCTTCAGTAGCTTCTGCACTTACAGCCCTGTGATGTATGTGTGGCAGAGCTCATGGTAGCGGTGAGATGCAGTCTTGCTGGTGTTGCTGGAGAGGTCAGTGCTTGCGTAGACCTGATGTCTACATGGTTAGTTTGTGAAACCTGACTCTTGATAGTGTGTGGATAGTAGGTGCCGTGGGGAGAGCACCAGCCTGTAACTGCTTTTAAGATGACTTTTTAGCAGTTTCCCCAGGACAGGTCACATCTCAGGAAGGTCTGGGTCCTGCAGGCTGTAGTTGCTCACTTTGTTCAAACACTACCCAGAATGTGTTGCTCCTTATTGATCCCATGTGTCTCTGGGCTGTCATGGTGATGGAGCAGAACTCCCGGGAGTGACCATCTGCAGGGGCTTTTTGTCCTGGTTGGTCCGGTGGGGCTGCAGAATGAAATGCAAAGTGAGCTGGTGTGGTGGCATCCGGAGACCCACAGGAGGTGTCTGTGATTTAAAAAACAAATCCCCAACCTTTCTTTCAAGAGGCTCCTTCTTGCCCTCAGGTGTTAAACAGATGGAAATTCCTTCCCTTTTCCTGCTAATTGGAAGAAGTAGATGTTTCTTTTCCTGAATTGAAAAGGAAAAAAACCATCTTGCCTGATGGTGGAAAGTGTAGTCAGTTAACTTGAAAGTTCCTGGAGCAGTGTAATCCTTTCCCTTGCTGGCACTGGCTCTGTGGTGGCAGGGAATCAGAATGGTGTGGAAGGTGCCATGCTGGGGAGCATGGAGAGAAACTGGAGCTTGTCTTTGCAGGGAGCTAGGCACAAAGCAGCACTCTGTTCAATCTTAGTGAAGATGCTTGGTATAATCTCTGTTTAAACTGAATGAACCAAATTAATTGAATAGCTGCATTTATTTGTAAGAGCCATGGAGAGCAGTTCTTTCACTGTGACAGAGGAAATCAGTTGGCCCTTGATTTTTGGACTTGTGGGACTGTGCCCAAAGTAACTTTGGCCAGGGGTGCCCCAGTGTCCTGCTGCTCACTTGTCTCCAGTGTGTTTATGGCTGTCATTGGGTGCTGGTGCATTGTCCCAGTGGTCTCAGGAAGGCTGCTTTTGGCATTGCTGTTTGTTGTGGTTTAACCCCAGCCAGCAACCAAGCCCCACGCAGCTGCTCACTCACTCCCCCACCAGTGGCATCTGGGAGAGAACTGGAAGGGTAAAAGCCAGAAAACTTGTGGGTTGAGATAAAGACACTTTAATAGGGAAAGCAAAAGCTGTGCATGTAAGCAAAGCAAAACAAGGAATTAATCCACTTTTTCCCATGGGCAAGCAGGTGTTCAGCCATCTCCAGGAGAGCAGGGCCCCATCACACCTGATGATTACTTGGGAAGACAAATGTCATCACTCTAAATGTCCCCTCCTCTTCCTTCTTCTTCCTCCCACTTAATGTACTGAGCGCGATGTCATATAGTCTGGAATATCCCTTTGGTCAGTTTGGTCATCTGTCCCAGTTGTGTCTCCTCCCAGCCTCCCATGCACCTCCAGCTTCCTCTCCAGCAAGGCAGTGCGAGAAGCAGAAAAGGCCTTGGCTCTGCGTAAGCCCTGCTCGGCAACAACAGAAACATCTCTATATTATCAACCCCGTGTTCAGCAGAAATCCAGAACACAGCCCCATACTAGCCACTGTGAAGAAAATTAACTCTCCTCCAGCCAAAACGAGCCCATTGTTTTACCTGTCAAGTTCAGCAAACGCTCCTTTAGTTTTTCATATGCTTCTCATCCATGCGGCCTCTTCCAACTGAGAAACGGTTTCTGGATCCTGTCCAGACCGGTGTTACTTGTACCGTCTGGCACTGCTGAGCTTGTTGCAGTTGGTTTGCACAAGGCAGCTCCTGGGCTCTCTGCGTTATAAGTACCAGATAATGCCTGGTCCTCCTCGCTGTCCATTTGAAGGTGCAGGGCGACCTGACCACCAGCTGTACCTGTTT